ATAGACTCTTTAAAATTGTGTTTTTTCTCCAGAACACAGAAGCCCATGTACTATTTGTTGATTTTGAGTAACATATTCATTAATCAATAAATAAATGACTTCATGATTACATAAATATTAATGAGCTAACAACCATGATTAATTTTTCATAGCAATGAGCTAATAGACTCTTTAAAATTGTGTTCGCTACAAGGAATGCAGATAACAGAATGTTGGCCGACATTTGCACATAAATATTTCTTGCATGAAGGAAATGTCGTGTTGTTTACCCCATAGTTATTAAACCCGGCCCGGCCCAGTGGTTCAACCGGTCAACCCGGTGAACTGGCCATGAAACCGAGCTGGTTTGTAATTGGATCGTTTGTGCACCAAATCCGTTGACTTTTCAACGGACCGGCGGTTCAACCGGGTTGAACCAGACAGTTTGTAAAGAACCCAGTTTTGGGATAAAAATGATTAGAAAATGCTCCAATGTTGATTAAACCCGGCCCGGCCCGATGATTCAACCGGTCAACCCGATGAACCGGCCATGAAACCGGGCTGGTTTGTAATTGGATCGTTTGTGCACCAAATCCGTTGACTTTTCAACGGACCGACGGTTCAACCGAAACCGGACAGTTTGTAAAGAACCCAGTTTTGGGATAATCATTGAGCATAAAAGCTACGCACACTCACCACTAGCCTAGCAGCTCACTTGGTGCTTATTCACTCATTCTATATTATATATTAGATTTTTATTCTTATTTTATTTCTTCAAAACAATATTTGTTTGGAATCTTTTAATAAAATTTTATTATTCTCTAAATTCTATAAATTATGAAATGGATTTAAAAAATAACATATTACACAATTCATTTTAAAAACAAATATTATTCTTAATAACCTTTTGTGCTTAAAATTCAAAAATAAACTAGATAATTACACTTAGATAAAATTTTATACTTGAAGTTTGATGGATTACTAATTAAATTTAGGTTTTGTTAATTCTTATAAGAATTAATGATTATATAATAAATTGCACTAACTGAGTATTTACTATAACATAGTTTATTTTAGTTTTAACCATATCAAAAATTATAAAACATAATATTTAAATATATGTAGTGACCCATCGGTTGAACCACTCACCCACTGGTTGAACCAGTAATCCGTTGACCCACCTCTTTCACCAGGTTCCTCTCCGGGCCGGGTTTAATAACTATTGTTTACCCTGCTCAACGACAACAATTATTCTATCAACCTCTTTGACAGAGACTTCATCCAGCAATACTGATCAACAAATGTTCATTACAGCTTATGAGACATAACAGTTATATTCCCCTAAATTATCCATCATTTATGTAATGAAATAAAAAATTTACCACCAACTATGAAATTCCTCTCATTACACAACTTCACAAAATTTTACCATTACCGCCCACTCTAAATATTTACAATAATAACCACACATATATAAACAAAAAAAAAACAGATAATATAAACAACATCAAACAATCATAACATACATTTTCTCACCCAAAATATATATATAAAAAAAAATTCATTTTCTCAAAAATATATATATCAACAAAAACTTCACACACATCCAATAACTATAAATCAACTATACCAATCTATCTTTAACTTCGATTCATTTCACCAACCATTTTCTAAAAATATCCAATAATTTCTTTATATTAAAAAAAAGTTATAATTAATTCTATACCCTTTATATATAATTTATCTTCCACAATATATATATTAACAAAAATATTTATTCTCTAAAAAAACAACTTTAATTCTATAATACAAACACAGACTTATTTTCGCTACAAAAACATATAAATATATTTTTATATCCTATTTATTACCCATTTTATATATCTCCACTTTTTTCAAAATATATTTTACTCCAACCAATTATTTTTCACAATATAACATAATTTCTCTCTATTTCAAAAATACTCCTTAAATAATATTCATTAATAACTGAATTATTAACTTAAAGTTCTTCCATTTTTAAATTAAATAACATAACACAAATGCAACTACCATAAAACACTTATCAACAAAAAATCCATAGCTATTTAATAAATACAAATTAATTATACCACTTTCCATTACCTTCCATTAACTATATTCCAAAAATATTACTTCAATAATATTTCAAAAACTAAAAAATTCAAAAATATACAACCAAAAACCAAAATTAAAAAAAAAACTTTTCTCTAAAATTATAACCTACATTATCATTAAACAATCAACAATGGACACCCGCGAAACTCGCGGGGCACTAGGCCTAGTTTATCATTATTTGTCTAATAAGAAGAGTCATCTCAGCTGGCTTATTAAGCCCTTGACCGATTGGTGGTTTCTTGCTGTCATCCTTGTACACAATCACCTCCTTATAGTTAAAGTGAATAAGAGATTCAAGGTCACGGTTGTTTCAAAATTATGCATATAAACGCGGTAACTTCCAAGTATTTTTTGCATACTTCAGTCGAAATTTCCAAGGATTGGTAAAGATCAATATCAGCCAACTATGAACTGGTCGTTGCGCTTGAAGTTGATGGAATGATATATAGGGAAACAGCCATTGCTAAGCATTTTGCCAGTACACTTGATAGATAAAATTAAGCTTCAAATGCCCAACAAACAATACAAGTTTCTTGTGGTTTTGGAAGATTGGGGTTTTAGAGGGAATTGATATTTTGATCAAGCTTGTATCTTGATTTGGGATGCCTCCAATAGCCATGCATGGATGTTGGATGTTGTATTCATCTGGGCTCGTGAGGTAATGTAGAATGAATCAAGGCCGTTGTGGTGGTCACTGGGTCAGCAGCCATCAGTGTTGTGGTGTGTGTGACTGCGTGTCTGTAATTTGTAATCTGTAGCATGTCAAGCAAGCAAGAATGAGAGGTCAGGATTTCTTACAATCCACGAGAACCTCAACCTAAAACCCTTATCCTATCTTCTTTTTTTCTTTCTCACCCCTTAAGTTCCCTCCGTCCATTTTCTCTCTTTTTTATCATCGAAGACAGCCTACGAGCACCTAACTCGTATTCCTATTACCTGTCTCTCAGCTCCCTCCCCATTATTGTTATTCTTCTTCTTCTTATTCTTCTTTTTCTTATTATTCTTCTTCTTCTTATTCTTCTTCTTCTTCTTCTTGTCTTCCTCCTTTTTTTGAGTTATTAAGACCTTTTCCATCCGATTTTGCATGGGCATGCCAATTCACTACTTTATTTAATTAATTTAATGCCAATCCGCATCTAAAATAAAGCTACTAAAATTTCCTGTTTATTATTAGGGATGAAATCACATAGTATCAAAAACTATTATATCATTTTATATTTTTCACTTAATACAAAATTCAAATTACTCTTTTCAATTATATATTCATTGTCAAACATGATCAATAACAAATAATCAAAAAAAATTACAACCAAAATATTACAAAGAACAAATTTTAACATCATAAATATTTTTTGTCAACATATTAAGGGTATTTGTTGAGATTTTTATGATATTAAAGTTTACTCTTTGTAATAGTTTGGTCATAGATTTTTTTGATTATTTGTTGTTGATCATATTTGACAATGAGTTTGTAGCTAAAAAGAGCAATTTAAATCTTACATTAAATATATAGAATGAAATACTATTTTTGATGCTATATGTGATCTAATCTCTGGCGATAAATAGCAAATTTAAGTATTTTCTTTAATATTTTGGGCAGGTATTAGATTAATTAAACAATTTAGTAGACGAGGGGCAATAGTAGAATCATATTATTTTCTCTCTCATAATATCACTTTTAGTTATTGATTAAATCTAGATGTTATAAGATAATAAATCTCAAGGAAGATTAATATAATTTATAAAACTTGTAATGAGGTGAGTGAAATAGCCAAAAACCTCAGGAGAGGTTTTTGAATTTATCCCTAGTTGTCATGGATAGCATTTATTAGTGCGTGGTAGTCTTCTACGGTATCAAACCATCAATAGATCGTCTGAGCATTTGGATTAGGGGATGAAAAGTAAAGTTCCACCCGTCTTCTACGATATTTTTTTTTATTCCCAGTCAACTAAACCTAGCTAAGTTCCACCACGGGAAAACGAAACACAAGAAGAACATCACTTTGTAGTGGTATTTCAATCAACCACAAAAAAAAAAAAAGAGAGGGAGTCGTGGAAGATTTCAATCAAGCACAAGTTCATTAGAATATTCCCATTACTTTGTAAACGATATAATTACGTATTAAGCGCAGTTAGCTGGTAGGAGAAACTAAAATGAGGTTCACGTACGTAATTTTTTTTCTTCTGCTACATGCATTATTGTTCTTTTTTTTTTTTTTTTTTAAATGTTAAACTTTCACAAGTTCGTCACAATCTCATCGCACACAGCAAAATACACAAGAGACATTTTACAAGTAAGAAAAATAAAACTACATTCTTTCATTAATTTGGGAAATATAAAACTACTGAACGATAAAAGTAAAAAAGCAAGAAAAAAAAGCATCTTGTTCTATTATCTCCAAATCATCACCAACATTATCATCCGATTTCTAAAGCATAAAACTACAATCTCATTCTTTGAAGCCTGGTTGGTACCTAATTAACCAGCTACAACGCGCCACACATTAACTTGACAAATCAAATAGAACAGCAGTAATATGGGCTTAGCCGGAAGAGAAGATTATATGGTCGTTGCGCTTGAAGTTGATGGAATGATATATGGGGAAACAGCCATTGTTAAGCATTTTGCCAGTACACTTGATAGATAAAATTAAGCTTCAAATGCCCAACAAAGGATAATTATTGCCAATCTGAAGTTGATAAAGAGAAGAGATCAAAGCTTGAATACAAGCAAATGGATTTTCACATTATTCGTTAAATAATTTGCAGGTTGATCACAAGCTAGAGAACAAAACTAAAACCTACAAACAAAAATATTAAATAAAGCAACATGATGGGATCTTATGGAACTCATAACGCATTTAGTCAAAGCATTTGAGCTTTGGTTAGTTGGCAACCTCGGGGCTTTTCCACCTTTCTCTTCTTGAAGCAATGAAAGCTTCTGCTTTCCCATCAATTCCATGATCAGCTTCCCATCCACCTCCCTCTTCATCACCAGGCCGCGCTTTATAAGCCTTCACGTCGTCATCCTTCATGTCCAACAAAGAATAATTATTGCCAATCTGAAGTTAATAAAGAGAAGAGATCAAAGCTTGAATACAAACAAATGGATTTTCACATTATTAGTTAAGTAATTTGCAGGTTGATCACAAGCTAGAGAACAAAACTAAAACCTACAAACAAAAATATTAAATAAAGCAACATGCATGATGGGGTCTTATGGAACTCATAACGCATGTAGTCAAGTACAGCTGATCATCAAAGCGTTTGAACTTTGGTTAGTTGGCAACCTCGGGGCTTTTCCACCTTTCTCTTCCTGCTTTCCAATCAATTCCAGGATCAGCTGCCCATCCACCTCTATCTTCATCACTAGGCCGCACTTTATAAGCCTTCACGTAGTCATCCTTCATGTCATCTGCCCTCCTAGACTTGGTTTTGGACATGCTGAAAAAGGAAAAGGAAGAAGAGGAACCAGAAGACTTCTTTTACTTGCTGCCTCCCATGGCTGCTTAGGAAGTTTCTTGTGGTTTTGGAGGATTGGGGTTTTAGAAATCAAGCTTGTATCTTGATTTGGGATGCCTTGGTTTTTCCAATAGCCAGGCATGGATGTATTTATACTGCGCTCGTGAGGTAATGTGGAATGAGTCAAGCCGTTGATCTGACTGACAGTCCTCATGGATGGAAATTATGAAATGAAATTTGTCCTGTTAAAGGAAATTTGCATTGTGGAGTGTGGCACCGCTCGTTTGAAATTTGACTAAAGCAAGAAGGAAAGGGAACAGTGAGATACATGATGTGACCCATAGTATCACAATAAGAATTGTGATAAGAATGAATTAAGAAAGATGCCACCCCGGATGCGATCTCACATAGTATCACAATAAGAATTAAGAAAGATGCCACTCCGCTTACACTGCACTTAGAGGTGGCAAATCAACCCACTTAATTAAATTTATCCATACCCGTCCATGAATAGATGGGTATGGGTATCTTAAATTTTTGTATATGGGTATAAATGGATTACCCAATAATACCCATTTATGGGTATCTTAAATTTTTGTATATGGGTATAAATGGATTACCCAATAATACCCAATAAATGGGTATTATTGGGTAACCCATCAAACCCAATTAACCCATTTAGAATTCTCTTCCCCCCAAGTCTCTTCTTTTCCCCCACCCATTTTTTTTTTTCAAATTTTTCATTTTGTCATGATGGTAACTACTTTTGTTTCATTATTATTATTATTATTATTATTATTATTATTATTTGTTGGTTTTATTTTATTATTTTATTTTCTCTTAGTTTGTTAACTTGCTCATTTTTTAGCATTACTAATTTATGATAAATTTTAGCCTATTTTCTTATCTTTCTAAAATGAAATTTTAAATTTATATATAAAAAAAATGTTAGGGGTTCAAAATTTTTGGATTAAGTTTTTATATTAATTTTTATATTCTTATTATTCAATTATTAAATAATAGGTAATTTTGTGACATAGAGTATAAATGAAAAAAAATTGGTAATTAAGTTTATTGAACATTATAAATAAATATTTAAAACTAATGATGGGTACAAAGAGTGATATAAATTGATAACTTAGTTTGCAAAAATGAATTTAAATGAGTTTACAAAAAGTTAAAATAAATGGGTTATAAATGGGTAATTGGGTTACCCAATTCATTTTTTGACTTACCGATTTATACCCATCTAATTAAATGGGTATAAATAAATTGACTCACTTATACCCATTACCCATTTTACCCCACCCATTTTGACACCTCTAAGTGCACTTGAGATCTGGTGATTTGTGTGACGCTGGCCCTTTCGCTCTGTAGCCCAAAAGTTTGAAATCAAGGAGAAAGGGGAAAAGTAGTGTTCTAATAGTAATAGTTGAGGATCAATCTTTCAGCACTTTGAAAACGCGCGACCTATCAACACAAGTTGGCTCGTGCAAGGATGATCAGCTATTTCTTTGTAAAACAAAGATTGTGTGTTTAAATATAGTTGCTGATGTAATGATAAATGATCTGTAGAAATTTATATAAACAACTTATGATTCCTGAAATCAATCGTACCCTAATCCAAGTCATGTGTTTCAGCAAATGAAAGAAAAATATTTTTAATCATTAATTCTATACGTTTCCCAAGGTTTGAAATCACCATCATATTGTAGGCAAGAACATGAAAATATAGCACCCTTTATTTGGGGAAAAAAAAAAAAAGCAGCACGTTGGGTGTTACTGTGTAAGCTCTTTCCGTAACAGTCCACTTTTTTTTTTTTTTTTTTAAAGTTGTAAATTATCATATTATTAGGTACTTGATGGGTGTTACTGTGTTAGGCAAATAATATTGCTTTAGCCTCGTTTTAGAATCCTTGGGGATGATAATTGTTTCATAAATTCTTTGAGAAGAAATGATAATTGTTTCATAAAGCATAAAGTACCTAATTCTTTGAGAAGGAAGAGTACCTAATTAACCACCTACAACGCGCCACACATTCACAAGAAATAATATACCATCCTTTAAGCTGTGTGTGCACTCCCTAATATGGCATTCAATTCTCCGCAGTTTACTCAAACGTGGCACCGGGACCGGGATGGAAACAGGACTGGCTGGCACTTGCAGAAAGTCACGAAGGCAAGTTGCTTGCTGACGAGGGGAACCAGGAGCCTCTCATAATTTGGCCTATTTCTGCCTCTTATCAAGCATTTGTAGGGGCTAAAACGCATAGAATATTATATAAAAATATGCAGAAGAGAAGTTCGATAAAAAAAAGCAAAGTTTTGCATCTTTTCCCATCATTTATTTAGCCATTCAATTCATACTACAAATATCGCTTTCTAAGCAGAGTGAGTGAACGAAGGAAATTTGCCGTCATTCCACATATAAAAGAAAACTATGCCCTCCCCTTTCCAGCTTTTGTTTAATCTTTTGGCCGGCGTTGACTTCTCCGTTGTTGTTGATTTGTGGGTTTAGCATTCTTTTATTTTGCGTTTTGTTTGTAGATATTTATTAATACTAAAGGAAGAACTTACAGCTATTTTTGGAAGATTTGATCAAACTGGCACAAAACAAGAGTGGCATGCAAATGCAAATGCGAATGCAAAACCCACAAGCTTCACGTCGATCACTGTCTGAAGGGATTAAGGGGTTAAAACTTGAGAATGGGTGTTGAAAGTTGTGGGGTTCTGCAAAATGGGGTCTAAGAATACGAAGGCCGGGTGGCAATGGCAATACCTTGAAATTGAAGCGGTTGCGGTTTTTAGTTTTAGTTTTAGTTTTACTCATAGCCTGAGCGGGCGGCAATAGCTTGATTTATTGTTAGGGATAATTTCCGAAACCTCCTCTGAGGTTTTTAACTATTTTACTGACCTCCCTCTAGGTTTCAAAAATTATACTAACCTCTCCTAAAGTTAATTATCTTGAAATATTTAGATCCAATCGATAATTAAAATGTAATATTGGAAGAGAGAAGATAATATGATTTCATCATTGTCCCTCATCTACTACTTTATTTATTTAATTAATTTAATGCCAATCCACATATTAAATAAAACTACTAAAATTTCCTGTTTATTATTAGGGATGAAATCACATATAGTATCAAAAAATATTATATCATTTTATATTTTTCACTTAATACAAAATTCAAATTACTCTTTTCAATTATATATCCATTGTCAAACATGATCAATAACAAATAATCAAAAAAAATTACAGCCAAAATATTACAAAGAACAAATTTTAACATCATAAATATTTTTTGTCAACATATTACGGGTATTTGTTGAGATTTTTATGATATTAAAGTTTACTCTTTGTAATATTTTGGTCATAGATTTTTTGATTATTTGTTGTTGATCATATTTGACAATGAGTTTGTAGCTAAAAAGAGCAATTTAAATCTTACATTAAATATATAGAATGAAATACTATTTTTGATGCTATATGTGATTTAATCTCTGGTGATAAATAGCACATTTTAGTATTTTCGTTAATATTTTGGGCAGGTATTAGATTAATTAAACAATTTAGTAGATGAGGGGCAATAGTAGAGTCATATTATTTTCTCTCTCATAATATCACTTTTAATTGTTGATTAAATCTAGATATTATAAGATAATAAATCTCAAGAAAGATTTATTATAGAGCGAGATATTTTGAGAGCTTTCTTGCTTCATGGCGGATGAAAGAACGTGGAATTCTGGTAGCTGCATCTAAGTATAAGATGCATACATACACATATAAAAGAAAACTATGGCTAAGATTCCTACTAGGAAAAGACTTCTAAGCAGAGTGAGTCAACGAAGGAAATTTGCGGTCATTCCACATATAAAAGAAAACTATGCCCTCCCCTTTCCAGCTTTTGTTTAATCTTTTGGCCGGCGTTGACTTCTCCGTTGTTGTTGATTTGAGTGCGGAAGTATGAGAATTACATGTAGTTGTCAACAATGATACATATGCAATATCTATTTGTGTGCTCTTGTACAATGATTTGAGTGTGAAAAATTGAATATGAGCAAATATATGCCTATATTATTTGGCAAATATAAATGGATGAGAAATTTTCTCACCAAAGATTGGTTCAATGTATTTGAACCACTAAGAGAGATTATTTTAAAATAAATTCGGGGACATCATATCTGTGCTATTTTATTATGTAAAATCTCAAGTTTGAGTTAAAGGTATGATACACATCAAGAGGAATAGGACTTGAGGCTAAAATTTTAAGTTGGAACCATCTATGAGGATACAACTACCTAGGGACTGGAGATCCCAAGAACTAGGTCAGAGACAAACGAATCATAGAATAGTTTGGGTGAAAAGCATTCATATATTATAAAATTGTTAAATCCCTTCCTATGGTGTAGAGCATGCTCGTGATTCTATGACGAAGGAAAGGTTAAGATTTGATATAAATCTTTTAATGAATTCTATAGCCCTTTATGGGTGGAATGCCTTAGTCATAGGGGTATTCTTGATAGACTCACCTATATGAGTGTGGAAGTAAAGGTCGCTTCCTATGAGAATTTAGCTAATTCTCTAAAGCACTCATGAATCTGGGATAAAGCACAAAGCCGTAATGTGCTGGCTTAAGAAGCCTGTTAATTAATATCTTGAATATCATGTGTGTGACATAATCTTACATATCTTAAAGTAGTTTTAGTTTCAAGGCTATAGTCCACTTTGACTCTAAGATGGGGATTATGGAAACACTAAATGAAGGTTTCAAGGCAATGCCACTTTCATTATGCATGATGTTCTCACTTTGTCCAAATCTTTATTCTTCTCAAATTTTATTAAAATAAGTGGGGGAATATTGGTGTATTTTAATAAAATCTTAATGTTTTTTCCTTGACCAAATCTTTACAAGGAGTTATAATAATTTATTTGGGAGTTATGAGAATTATAATTGTGGGAGTTACAATGCATTTTGAATGGAGTTATTATAGAATTATTTGAATTAGAGTTACAA